TTTCCCCTGTCTGACTCTCGTCATCTTCCTTGTTGGGAATTCCCAATAAATGTTGTTTTTGAACATTCGCTACTGAATCCTCATTCTTTCTCCCTGACAGAACGATCTGACCACATTATGGATTCAGCGAATGCTACGGATCTGCAGAACTTTTTATACCACAACAATACACGTATGGATCGTCAGGAGGAGCAAATGCTAGCTACGGGAAGGGCGGTGCAAACCACAACAATACACGTATGGATCGTCAGGAGGAGCAAATGCTAGCTACGGGAAGGGCGGTGCAACCCTTGGTAGCGCAGGTGTCCGAGCTCACCACCCAATTACAACAGCTGAGCTTACCCACTGCGCCACTCCCACCGCCGGTTCCCTCTAGTATGTTGGCCGAACTACGGCAGGAGGACAGTCTCTGACTATTCCATCGAGTTCCGGACCCTGGTTGCGGAATGTAAATGGAACGAAGAGGCGCAGTGGGACATGTTCCTGCATGGGTTGGCTGACCGTATTCAGAAAGAGATTTTTGCTATGGAGTTACCCTCTGGTCTTGATGGACTGATCGATTTAGCCATTCGCGTTGACACGCGTCTTCAGCGGTGTGAGCAACGAGGCCATTACACTTTGAGGTCGGGACTTCCTGTTTCCTCCGCTGCCAACTCCAGTATGATGGTCAGTCCCACATCCAATTGCGAACCCATGCAGGTGGGTAGAGCTCGGCTTTCCTGTGAGGAGAGTGACCGCCGGAGAGCTATGGGACTCTGCCTATACTGTGGCTCTGAGGGGCACATCCTGGTTCACTGTCCAGTAAAAGGCCCAGCCCGACAGTAGAACCGAGGTTACTGTCGGGTGGATTGTCCTTGGAGAAATCCTCATCCTCTACTCTCCTCTCGGTAAGACTACAATGGGCAGGCCGATTCCACAACTGCCAAGCCCTGCTGGATTCCGGAGCAGAGGGTAATTTCATGGACTACAGTCTGGCATCTCGCCTTCAAATCCCCATAGTTCCTCTCTACCACAAGATCACCGTTAACGCACTCAATGGACATAACCTTCCCAGTATCACACACACTA